ATAACACCTTACACCAGTAAGAATGGCACATTTTAAAAAAAAAAACTAGCTGCAACAAATGTTGGCGAGGATGTGGTGAAAAAGGGCATTGATCTTAAACAGAATTCATTTCTGATCTGCCAATTGTGAATACATTTTTTTCACCGTATCCTAGATAGAATGTCCTAAAACTTAAGATGTGCCTTATAGCTTCTGTTCGACTCCCCTGGTAAATGCACTGCTTCCTGAGATTGCTCATTCCTGTATGGCTTCACAGGACACTTGTACATGTCTTGTTTTACATGCCACAAAAAGGCCCAAGAGTGACTAGTAAGGCAAGATATTCATTTGCAATGTGTTTAAAAGAACAGTTTGCCAATTGGTCACAGATATCCTATTTCATTTGGCTATAGTATGGGGTTTGAAATGTTCATTTTAGATTTATTCCATTTATTGCCAAGGGAACAGTTGGCAATGAATATTTGCATTTAATCTTCCTTGTGTGATCTTATACCTACATTCATTTGATGTGATTTAGTCACTAACTTAGTGACCAAGTATGAAAAAAGTTAAACCTAATTTTGGTTACTAGTTACTAGAGAAGTTACTAAAAAGCAAACATTTGGAAATAAAAAAATTAAAGAGATAGTTGCCACAATAATGCAACATTAATAGTAGGAAAATCATATTTGTCTTTTAAAAGTTATTAGATGAACATATTTTTCTTATTAATAATCTAATTGCGGTCAGTCAAACCTAGACCTACTCATTTTGTCTTTAATAAACATCAGTTAGCAGCACAGTTTATGCAGGTAGACATGATACCATAATGCCAGCCACTCTCCGGGCCCTTGGCCAATAAAAGGAAACAGAATTTGAGGAGAAGGAAGTAGTTTGTCAAAAAATTGAGGTTGGTGGGGCATAGGGGTGCTGAGGGACCCCGGAGGTTCTTGACTTCTATGGAAAGAACGTATGTGAGAGCCAGTGTATGAGTTAGAAATGAAGCTTTGTTGTAGGTGATGGTGCACACTCAGGGGTAAGTGGGCAGATTCAGAGGAGAATCCCACCTTGGGTCTTAAGGCTGGTATAATTGCTTACTTTGAGGGGGCAGGGGCTCACAAATGGGATCTTAAATGGGTTTTGACCACATTTGTTTAACAAAAGGGGCAGAAATTTACAGGTTGGGGTAAGATTTGGCCAATTTTGTTCATCAAAAGCACCTGACCCCTAATTTCATGTTAAGAATTTTTACATCTACTGGCACCAGGTGTAAGAAATTAATAGGGCCTTAGTCACTTTGTACTGGAATGTGCAGGGCTGTTTTTCAGAAATACTGGACGGGGGAGGGAGGGGCTGCAGCTATTATGATAAATTCCTGTTCTGGCTCAAGGAGGGCAGCAGACGAGTATCTAAAAGACCATCATCCTGCTCTTTGGCAGAGCCCAGGGGTGTTTACCAGTTACAAGGGAGTGGAACCAGGAGAGGACAGATCAGCATGTCTGGCCTTGGGATACAAGAGTCTGGCGATTCTGTTTGATGCCAGCTTGCTTTCCCCATCAGCTGGTGGTCAGCAATTTTGATGTTATCTTTGTAGGAACCTCTTTTCCCTTGGAATGTAAAAAAAGAATGGCTTATAAGCCTAGAGGGAAAATAAAGCAAATAGGAGAGCTCATCTGGTGGGACAGAGAGACTTGTACTGTGTTGATGCATCAGATACACAAGGACACATGCATATATGCACTTGTAAATAAGTAAATAAGTAAAAACATAATGCACATATACATATCAATTAAAGCTAAATTGTGAAAACAATTGAGTTAATTGGGTAAAATTTTAGCATTTGCAAAAATCATTATTTTTGAGTTTATTCCATGTTAGACTGCTTTGTTTTCTAAAGCCAAATTGTGTGAGTCTACATAAAAGCAATGCAACTTATCTGAATATAAGTTTTCATTTATTTTTTAAAGAATTTATTTTCATGTAGAAGAACTGGGGTAGAAGCCAGAGATGCAGGTGGGTGAGAAGATTCACCAGAGATAGACTGGGAGCAGCACAGGCAGATGTACAGAAATACACTGTTGAGGGGAGCAGCGGGGAGACAGGAGAGGTCTGCTGCACCGTGTGGGTAGCTCGCTGGCTGGGGCTGGAACTCAGTTTGCGGTGATAGAGCTGAGACTTAACCCCTAGGCCACCAGGGAGGCCCCAACAGCTTTTATGTTGGATATTTGAGTTGATGGCTCTCAAACCATTAGCTGTTTTTTCTTTATCACATTACCTATTTCTAAAGTGAAGTTAATTTTGAAAATATTAGTCTGCTATCCCCACTACAAGATTGGGAATTGTTAGTGGTGTGCACAAAGCTCTCTTGGCCAGTCCACAACATCTGTGGTTACTCCTAGTGTATGTTAACATACATGTGCCCCTGTGTGGGGAAGGCTCTCTAACAGAGACTATCTCTAAGGCTGTCTCTATTTTGTTGTATATCATTTATTGGCCTTTCTGAGTGCTTATCTCTTTTACTTGCCTTTCAGCAATTTCTTCCATTTTTGTTTTTATTATGGTAATTTTTTAAAAAATCTGCACACATGGGGTTGGTAGATATTTTTGTTCAGAAAAGGACAATATGAAATCATTTGAAAGGAAGGATACGTTGAAATGGGCAATTTTGAAGTCTGATGTAAAGACAATCTTTCATCATGTTTTTGTGATTGTGTTCTAGAAACTGCTTCTCTTTGTGATGTCATATTTCCTAGAAGCCTCAAAGTGTCATGTGTTAATTTTTTGCCTGTTCATTTTGTTGCTTTAGATTTTCCTATTTTTTTTTTTTAAATATCTGTAGGGATAACTCAGTCTGATTGCTGTTACTTTCCCAGTAGATGAAGTTATAACTTTACTTTTTTTGGCCTGTGTGGTTTTTGTAGGTAATGCTTTTTTCTTTTTGCAGTTGTTGAATCATAGGTTGGGAGAGATTACTGGGGGAAGGGAGCCCAGCTGAGGTGCAAATGTGCTGTTGGGTATTTGTGGTACCACCAACATTCTCCTCTGTGGGGATCTAGACCCAAAACTCTATGATCACAGTGCACTTCATGAGGTCAGTCCAGTCCCAGGGGTGGGGGAAGGGAATGCCATCCTATTTACTTTCCTTGTCCTTTTCACTCAGGATCTAGAAAGTTCTGTGGCAGTTCCCAGCTCTTCCATCACATTTCCCCTCAATCAAGTGTATGTTTCTCCACTTTTTAACTCTCCCCTCCCCAGATTAAGTCAATATCACACTGTTTGTATCCTCATCCCAGATGGCTGTCTCCTAACATTTCTCTTCACCCACATCCTGTGCAATGAAATGTGACTTGCCTCCATGACACTCCTTCGTCCCCTCATTGCAACCTGTGCTGTGTCTCCAGTATCTAAGAGATGTTAGTTTTCCTCAAACCATAGGCTTCCCAGGTGTAGTGTTTCTCTGATTAACTATTAGTGGAATTTCTGAATAGAGAAGCATGAAAACTCCTGCCACCATTTAGTTGCTGATTGGGAAACCTATTTTACTGGGGTTTCAAACACCTCCAAAAAGCTTCAAAATTCCAAAATAGTTTCTTTGAAATTTGTTTTTCTCGTGGAAAATTATGGTAAAAGATAGAGCCAACAATTTTACACAGGTTCAATGTGAAAATTAAAATTGCTATTTCACAGTCTAGTAGGACACGGGATAATGTCTCTTAACCCAACAAAGAAATAATGTATTCTAAACCAATGATAGATTAATGCACTATTTTCCAGGCAAAGGGGAGATGAAAGAAAACTCAGACTTAATTGAGGTCTTTTTTACTTTAAAGATTTTAATTATGCACACAAGAACTGGGGTGTAGGCCAGAAGTGTAAAGGGTGAGAAGACTCACCAGAGATAGAGAGGGGTGAGCAGAAAAGGTGGATCTATTGAAATATACTGTGGAGGGGTGCAGCAGGCAAGACAGGAGGTCTGTTGTGCCTTGTGGATAGGCTCCCGGGCCGGGGATCAGACTCATGACACTGTGGCTGGTGATAGCTTGATAGCGCTGAGACTTAACCCCTGAGTCACAGGGAGGCCCAAAATCTACTTTTCATGAATTCTCAGAAGAGTCCCCTTGGACTCTTCCCATCAGGCAAATAAACACAAGTAAAATTATTGCTAGGGCCTATTATTAGGGCATGATAGAATTCAGGTGATTGAGTTGGCAGGCAAGATTTCCTTCATGGGGCCTCTGCGTGGTGTTTGAGCTAGCATCATGTAAGCCTTATAGAGAGCTAATTAGACCAAATACTTTGGGTAGTTTTTTGTAAGCATAGGTTTAGTGTGTATTTTTAATCAGCTGGGGGTGGGGTGGGGGAAGGAGGGGGGGAGATGAGGGGACACAGACAAGGGAGGGGGTGGGGGAACACACATGGAAAGAAGAGTGAACATTACTGAATTACACCACTAACGGGAACAGTGGGCAGGAGGAGAGGCCCTACTGCACCTTGTGTGGGTTGGCTCCCTGGGCCGGGTATCAGAACTCAGGCCATAGCAGCAACGGTAGCGCTGTAGCACTTGAGCCTTAACCCGCTCGGCCACTGGGGAGACCCTGCTCACTAGCCGGCTTCTAAGGCTACTAGTACTTCTCTGGAGGTGAGCGCAACTGCTTTAGCAATGGTGCGCTGATATAAACGCCTCACACTCGGCATCTGCAGGTGTAGCCCATGTCCTGAGAGGGCAGTGAGGGGTAAACAACGTGGTCCAGGTACCTGCTCATTGGGAGCCTGCACTCAAGTAGGCCTACAAAGTTTACAGTCAGTGCGGCCAGTCACCGCCGCCAGCAGGTGCTAATAGGCCCTGTGGCCCCCGTCTGGGGGTGCAGACTCATGTGCACAGCCAGGAGCAGCCCTACAGTCTTCCTTCCATGGCAGGGCCTGGAGACGAGCGTGGACACCTTGCAGAGGACCGCACAGAAAGTCTTCTCTAGCGCCACGATGCCGAGATTGTGCAGCGAAGCTACTATGAGGTGCACAGGGAGCTCTTTGAAGGCATCCAGAAGTGGGAAGAGAGCTGGAGGCTCTTCCTGGAGTTTGAGGTACCGCCTTGTCCGCCTAGGTATTTAAAATATTTAATGTCTATTATATCATAGTCACTCCTGATCATTTCCTCAGCACATTTCCTATGACATCTTGACCTGTCCTCCTCAATGTAAATGAATTTACCCTTGATCAGAACATTCACTTAACTCATAAACAAGTAGATTTAAAAACATAACAAACTCAGAGAGATAATCCAGCCTGTTATTTCAAATCATTCACATACTAATCTCTGCACTATGCCTATACTAATGCTCTGCACAAATCTAAGTTCAAAAAATATCCACACCATAATTTGCAATCTATTTTTCCTTAATTCCCCATCATTACTAAAACTTTGTTAAATTCTTATTGGTAAAAGCATAACAAATACTTATTAAGGTGCCAGACACAATCTTAAAAAAAAAAGTAAGTTTCTTAAACCACTCAATTTGTTTCCTTGAAAATTGCATTTCCATAGTAAAGTTATATTTATAAATCTCTAGGGGAGGTACACACTTGCATGGCTCTACCAAAATATGTGTGATTGCCATAAACCATAATTCAAGATTTTAGGGTATGTTTTGCTATTCTCTTTTGATACCTACAAATTTATTTTTACTTTATTAGTCTTATCTTCCAGCTGTTGTTTTACTTTTTCAGTGCTTTTAATGTAGGATTTACATTTTCAGATTCATTTTAGGATGTTCAAAGTGAATTTTCCTTCATTTATTTTAATAGTTCCTTTCTTTTCTTTGGGCTTGTAATAACCTTTTCCTTCTTTTGTCACCTGCATCATCTGTTCTATTTTTATTGATCCCATTATGTTGGAGACTTAATGTTCCCCTTGACTCTAATAGATTAAGTTTTGGCTCAGAGCATACAATCAGGGTCCAGTTTTCCACATCATATATACCTGGCTAAGGCGACATCAAGTCCATAACATGGTTCCTTGTATCCTAAGCACTTCCAGAAGGTAACAATGATATAGGTATTTTGGTTCTGTTCCACCAGCGTATCCTCAGGGACATGTTTTCCTTTTATCATCAGGGGGCTTTCTGGGGACTGTAGGCTCCCTTTAAATATTGGGGGATTAGGGGCTCCCTGGTGGTGCAGGGGTTAAAGACAGCACTGTCAAGCTATTGCCAGACACTACAGCACGAGTTCAATTGCCAGCCGGCCAGGGAGCTATCCACGTGGTGCTGCAGACCTCTCCTGTCTTGCCCGCTGCTCCCCTCGGCAGTGTATTTCAGTCCGTCTGCCTGTTCTGCTCCCCAGTCTCTCTGATGAATCTTCACGCATGCGTGCATGCACATGCACACACACACACACACACCCGTACCTCTGGCTTACACCCCAGTTCTTGTATACATAAATCTTTAAAAAATGTATTGGGGAACCATAAAAGTGATACATTCAAATGTCATATATTTTCCTTAAATTGTCAACACTAATTCCATAGTTAACCCAAGGAGTCACAATCATTAGGCTGTATGGTATCTTCTTGAGTTATAGTCAGATTATTTATAGTATTAGGTGATCCATGGTGTCCAAGATTAGTTATTTTAAGCAGAGTCCACATCTTATAATTGACAATCAACCTTTAAAAAAATCTTTTAGATTTTTTTAATGCTTATATTTTTCAAATTATCCCCAGCTGCTTTCCTCAGAATATCCAGTGTCCCCAACCAAAATAATTTGTTCTCTAAGGTGCTAATCTTAGCCATCTGGGTACCCAATGAAAGAGCTGTAGTGCATGCATGTTAAATTGGGATTGCTTAATTTCAAAATTGCTAGTCAAATTTTGATCAATTTGAAATTTGGAGAAGGGTGCTGGCACATCTCTGGCAACAAGTTTTAAGTTCCCACATTCTGAGCTGCTGAGACATTAGGAATGAGATGGAAAGCTGCGTTATCAGTGAGTAATGAGAACATGATAGGTTCCCAGTGTGTCCTCTGTATTTTCACCATGGCTTCCCCTTTCCCTTGAAGTCAGAACATAGTGTCCATGAAACTGCAGTTAACATTTAGTGGGTGAATTTGGGGTACATGATATAAACTGTAGGTATGGCAAATGATCTGAGATCCTGCATACTGAATCAACATGAGGGGGAGCTATAACTTTGTTCATAGCTACAGTAAGATACTCAGAATTACAAATGGTAAGTTCTTGGTATGAACTTTATGCTGTTTGCAAATTGTCCCACATAATTGATCTCAACATATTACTTCTAACCCTAGATTTCCACCAGTCAATTATAGATTTCTCCTGTGTTCTGTTCCACAAGTAATTTGTTTAGACCTTTTAGCAATACTTGAGATGTTGTTAGTATAGATTTGTTTTCTTTAAAAAACCCAGGTCCCTGCTCTCCATCTGTCTTAGATTTGTCTTAGACTTTGTGCATGTAAATGGTTGCATTGATTATGTGAGCCTTATTTCATCACCTCTAAAATCATAAGCTTGTGTCCGCATTCACAAAATCCACTTGCATCCCATGCACTGGTAATGGACATATGACTGGTATAGAAAGCCACCATTTTGCTTGGCTCATGGTTATCGAGCCCCTCATTACATGGAGACTTAGTGAAACTCATCAATGGTACTGTTATATGCACATGTTATTACAGCGCCAAACAATTAACTTATCTAGCTTTAATATAAGTATTAATGGTCATAGGCTATTGGCCCCAGATGACAGATTAAGTATAGATTCTGTCCATATTGAAAATGGACATTTAGCTACTTATTCTATTCTGTCTAGTCATGCCTCATTTCTTAAAACTATGCCATTTTGTTTAAAAACCACCAATTTTTCCATATTGCCCATGTTTTTAACTAGTCATATTGACAAATGCAGCCATCTCTGTATCATTTGATAGTTATATTGTCACATAACATTATTGTGTTAGGTATTTAATAAGTCATGTTTGTTTCATAATTTATATAATAGTAGGGATAGTCTGTGTTGCAAGGAAAGAAAATTACATTTTGAAAAATATAGAACTTGGCACTGCATGTGGCAATAGTTCTTATGTATATTGTTACATAATAAAATAGGTTTGGAATAGTTTAGAAAGAGTTAAGTTACAAAATGGAATAGGTTAGGTCGTTCTGTGATGTAAAGTCTAACCTATTTGCCATCGGTAGTGGTGTCCCAGGGGACTTCTAAGGATAGAAGTTATCATGAAAGTGGAGATGGTGTAGTTTATCGCAAATATTCTGGCTTAACTAGAGTAATATATTATTCCTTTTGGGGAATCAATAAGTGTCTCATTAAATATATTGATTTAGGTATGGTGTTTGCTTTGTAAGAATACTTTTACAGGGTCTTTTCTCTTTCTACCTCATAATCGTAAGACTTCATAATCTCCTATTTTACCTACTTATCTCTCCAATGCACTTGTTGGGTCTGTGTGTAAAGAAGCATCTTAATCTCTCATTATCTGCTAGACTATCTAAAACAGTCCTACCTCTGCAGGAAATGGGAGTTTCTTCTAACTACATGTTTAGTTCTTCAGAGCATCGATATTAAATTGGATGTGTACACTTCTCAACAATGGGGTTTAAATATTTTTCTTTAATCATATCTTATTACCATGGTCATATGCAAAGTTGGGGTGATAGATCATAGCCTTGCCCAATCTATTATTAAAGTCAAATATTCACTTTAATAATGCAAATTATTTTGTGCCATTAGCCAAGGATCAGTGGTAGTGATGATAGGTACTCAGAGGAAGTATACATGGGAGATGTAGCTATTCTAGAACCGATTCCTCAAGATGCAGGTAAAGAAGCAGAGGTGTTTGTGCCATTGACTTATAAACACATATCCCCCCCAATATCTGGGGATACAAATGGGTAACTAGTCTCCAGCCTCAAAGTGAGCAAGAACAGAAATTTGGGTGAGTCTGTAAGTGATCATAAAATTTGCAATGGGTTTTGGTGTGGGCACACAGTCTATGCATTCACCAACTTATTTTATAATAAAATGTTAGTCCACAAAATAAATTAAATCAGTTATTGCAATATGTGTACATATACACTTATTCAGTAAGCCAAGGAAAAGATAAAACTAAGTACCTGGATGCTTTGCTATATGTGCCATTATAGAGTCTAATAGGGGATGTTGATCAGGATCTTTGTTGGTTCATGTGAAGTTTCCCACTGCTTCATCAGTTTCCCTCTGTCCTTGATTTCGCTATTGATTAAAGGTTTCCCAGCAAGGGGTTGGTGCTCATGATGAAGGGTAGAATGGAGATACTGGAACCGATGATACTGGTAAATCCTCAGTTGCAATAAGGTGGCCAGAATGGCGATCAGGGAAGAAGTGGAGGATGTCACAAATGGTAGATCTGTATTCTGACCAGCTTGTAACATTCCATTTGGGAGCAACTATACAATCGCAATTGCTGGTGCTATGTATCCATAGCTGCAATGAGTATGAAATCCAATAATTATTAATAAGAAAATAGTGTGGCCACACCGACACACTAAGCAATACTTATAGGGTTCAAGATGCATAATGGGTTTGTGCCTCTAGTTCTCATTCATTCTGGTTGCTTTCTTTGGCTATTCAAAGAAATCTATACCTATTATAGCTGTCATGGTGAATGTTGTCTTAAGCATACATAATGGCCTGCACCACACTAGGTGAGGATACCATATGTAAATGTGTCCACTGCTAAATTTCCTGCCATCAGATACAGATTAAAAATTGATATTTTTAGTGCCTGGATATACTTGGATCATGTGTTGAGATATGGTGTTCTGTATGCCTGAAGATGTTAGAGACATCAGGATATTTTACTGTTACTAGAACGTTTTCTTTGTTAACCTAGTAGTCTTTATTAGTGGTGGGGCTTTCATATTTCCCCAAAAGAATATTGATTAGATATATAGATATATCTATATGTGCATGGGTTTAATATTGTTTTAAATTTGTAATTTTAATTGTTTTTAGCTTCTGGTCTATTTGGGGTATAATAATTTTTGAGTACCTGCAATATTCATTAGAAGTCTTTCCATCCCTTCTATATCTATGAATTGCTTTAGTTCATGATTTCATATCTAGGTTGTTGTAAGAAATCTAAAATTTTGCTATCGCAGGCTATTATGCATTTTAATTGATCCAGAGGTGATTGGTTGTAGGCTAACTGGACTAAAGAAAAGGGCAAAATGTGGAACATCCAATCTTGTATTATTTTCCCTCTAAAGTGGGTTCCTTGGTCTGATTTCTATGATGGTTGGGGTGCCTTAGCAAGCAATCCAGATTACTAATAGATTTTTTTTTTTTTATCACTTTCCCTGCAAAGGTAGGGAGCATATAGTTTATATAGGCTCCTTGCTGATAACAAACAATTTGCATAATTCGGAAGAGTCCTGTTAGCTATGACCTGATCTGGAACATTCATTAATCCACAAACTTTAAACTTCTGGTAATTCCCACATCTTTTAATTTGCAATTGGAGTATTTGGACATAAATACATGTTTTCTCATACCATCTACACCAGCATGATCTGTCAAGAATTGCATGGGTACTTCAAGTAATTGGCTTATCTGTTTGCTGGAGTATTTCATTCTCCTCCTTTACGGATGACTTTATCATTCTTGAGTAAAGACAAACCCAATTTAAAATAATCTAAGATAAATTGTGTGACGCCTTCCCTGATTAGTCTTCCAGATGGGTTTGCCTACCTGGTTATTAAATTTGGTTCCATCCGAGTCATTCTTCTGATGTACATAGGCATGTGTGATGAATATACAGATATAAGCCAGGGCTGTTTTCTGCCATACGTATGTCATCAGTTCCTAATTTTCAGTCATTTATCCATCTTATTACTGACCAAATAGCTATCCCATTATTTACTCCCTATAAGTGCACGAAAAAAAGATAACTCATTCTGTTTTTTTAACAGATTGTTCCATTGCCAATTTGATGACCATTAGTTCAGGATAGTGGTGTACATTCTCTGTAACCTGGTTCTGTCAGGGTTAGGTCAGTCTTCAAGACCACGGTCTGTCAGCACATGTCAGATGGTGTCACAGTGGCTGCTCCAACTATAAACAATTACATACCACACATCACAATATCATACATTATTAAATATTGTGGGTCAGGACATTTGATTTTGCCCACTGCTTGAGCTTGGATAGGATCACCCTTTGGGAACTCTTACCAATCTATTGGCATTGCCAACATTTCCTCAGTTAATACACAGGGTCAATTATCTTAAAGTCAGGAGTCTGTTTTACCCAATCCAGAATAAGCTGGTGGAATTGATATGTAGTTGCTTTATTTTTCTGTTAATAGCTATGTATTTTCATACAAGAACTTCTTAGTCCAACACTCAGGCAAAATGTGGGGTCCTGTGGTGTTTTAGTCCACAGGAATTATGATTCAATCCCTTGTGAATGACAATGTGTATTTGGGGTTCTCTTTCACTGGTGCTAATGTTAAAAATTCTGACATGATTTTTCAAATAAGTGCTATGTGCCTTTGATACAACTAGGGAATTTAGATGTTATTTCCACGTGTTAGAATTTTTTTTTTTTTTTGACACTAGAAAACGCTTATCATTTCTTCTGTGCTTCCTTTTTTGGGAGGAATTGATAGGCAGATCTACTTTGGAGATGACTGGGTCTGGTATTTTCCTATGTTCAGGGACCAAAATATTCCCAGACACTGTAGTTTGGGGCCTTTCAACCTTGTCTGGATTGACTGTGTATCCTGAGCGAACAGGATTCATTTAACTATCTTGAGCCTAGTCTGTTCATCCAAGTTCTCAATCACAAAACCAATTAATAGTTTTTGCATGTTTTCTCTAAAAAGTCTGAATGTCTTGTTTTTGGGATTGTGGGCTAGACCTGAGCTGATAAAGTATTCTTGTGATAAACTAAATCTGATGTTGTCTGCCTTCGATGTGAATGCGGGCATAGGTATGCTCTTACCAAGTGGTGCAGCAAAGATCAGGTAAGTGTCACCGGCAATAACAACTATGTCAGTGGTGAGAGTTACTAATGCTGCCTGTATCTGGGCATGTTCCTTCAATTGTGGGAGCTTTTGTTTCTATAATCTACTATAAATTTATAGGCTCTCTCTGGTTTTTAACCAGATTGGATTTTTAGTAGGCATTATAATTTGTTCCTTTAGGAGTCTGAGTTTTCCTCTCAATTTAAGGATGTCCTCACTTAGGATTGAATTGGGATATATTTGTAAAACCTGCAGTGCATTTACCTCCTAATCCCTTGATCATCCCTATTGTATGATTCAGGTTTTCCAAATTAGTACAATGCCCTGGTATCACTTTGGATCTAGTATCCAAAAGCATAGTAGCAGATGTAGTGTTTGTATTTACATAAGGGTCTCTATGGCCAGTGTAATATATGGACAGTTGTCACTTACTTGGGCCAGGAGACAGACTGCTGAGTCCATATAGGGGATTCATGGGCCTTTCTCTCCCTTACTTCTCAATGGCTCCTCTCTTATTGAAGTTAGGTTTTATAGAGGGATTATTCAGGGCACATTTGGGGTTGTCCCCCCAAGTTGGATATTTCCATTTCTTTGTCATTGTCAATACTTCATATTATTCCTATAGTGATTTTTGTTTTCAGTTTGGATCAAATGCTGGTTGTCTAAATGGTCTCTGCCAAGAAGACATTATGGGTCTTGTTAACTATTTATATTAGAGTGTAGGTCTATTTTGTCTATATGTTAGTGTTAAAACTATAGCTATTATCTTGATTTAGTTCCTTAGCTATTCTGATTAAGTCTGTAAATAGTGCTATTCTGTCCCATGGGGTGTAACTTAAAGATGACCTTTTAAATCTATTACTTGTAGTGGTGAGGGCATCGGTACTTTATTATAAATCATAGTCAATTGTTAATAGTGAAATTTAATGTTAGTGGCTTACCCAGCTGTTTCCATGGAGATGTTTTAAGGCAGAGACTATATTAGGTGTAGGCCATCTATACCTCCAGGCAGGTGCTACCTAGGCAAACAAAGATCCATATATAGATATTAGTATAATTGTTTCCAAATACTCTTGATTAAAATTAGCATCAGTAGTAATGGGTCCAAATTTTACAATATCTGCTACTGAGAGGATAAAGTTTTGTCTTTTGTACCATAAATCTAATAGCCACTCTGTTTCTGTATTCAAATCAGTTTGTGGGAATTCCATTCTAATTTATAATTTCTAATCATTTCTCATTTAGTGACAGTTTCACATGAATATTTGTCTATTGGTCGTCATCTATTCTCGTGTGCTAGCTTCTATTAGGACAAAGTCACAGGGTTGTAACAATCATTATCTATGGGCTGTGAATTGGTAGCCGTAGGAGTAAAAGAGTCTGGGTTTCTTCCCACTCTGGAGATTACCTAATAAGAGCACTGGAATTACTTTATTTTTCTTAATAAAGAATATACCTCACTGGGTAGGATGACTAGTCTAACCTCTAGAATTTTCTTTTTTCTGGACTAGGTGTTCAAAGATCTCAAGGGATCCTCAGAAATTAAGGATCCCTAAATCACTGAGCAATTTTGGTAGGGTTAATGAGCACATGCTAGTCTCCGCCCACCTTTCAGAACAGGTTTATCAATTTTGTTCATTACAGATTGTTTAAACTTACTATATCATTTATAAAATAGCCTCCTACTAAATTTATAAAGTTTATCAGATTTTGGCTTATTATATGTATCAAGCTGTATTTCACATTTGACAATAATACAGCACTAACCGATATTATTTTATAATGGATTGTTAATTACACACATTGTTTTGTCCATAGAAAATTTTGCTCAGAGACTGGGATTCTTTGCAAATAATCTATTAAATGCAGGTTTACAGCAGGAATTATCGCTGTAAATTATATTTAAATGAGTTAAAGAAATACAGCTTGGGCCTCCCCTGGTGGCGCAGTGGTTGAGCGCTGGGCTGCGAGGCTGCAAGCAGCCTCTGCAGCACTGGTTTGATCCCAGGCCGCCGGGTGAGGGTCCCACATGGCACACAGACCTCTCCTGCCTTGCCCGCTGCTCCCCTCAGCAGTGTACTTCGGTCCTTCTGCCTGTTCTGCTCCCCACTCTATCTCTGGTGAATTCTCTTGCCCTACCATGCTTCTGACTGTAACCAGTGCTTGTATAAATAAATAAAATCTTAAAAAAAAATTAAATTCTTTAAAATAAAAAAAAATACAGGTTTAAGTTTACCTTTCTACATGCTGGTTCTTTGAATAGTCATCTTCACCAACAAAGTGCTGATATCCAGCTTTCAGTACAAATCAAAATTACCATGTTGCTATAGCATGGAGCCAGCAGAATGAAGGCACTAATGTGGTTGAGTGAGGCTCTCCTCACAGCCACTGCATGGATTTTTTACTGATGGCTGCACAGTAGCCTTGCGACGACAGGAGCTGGTATCCCAAAGACTCCAAAGAGCTCATTAATAAGCAAAGTGTAGCATTTCCTAGGTTAAATCACTCTTAGTAATTCTTACAAATTCTTGGTAGTAATTTAAATTTCCATTATGTATGCACTTACACTACTTGAGTTCATCAAAATAGCCTAACAATTGGGAAGACATCATTCTGACATGCCCCCCTTGATTGAAACAAATTCACCCTTAGAGAAAAACAATTTTCACTTGGGATTTAAGATATGAGGTGCCTAAATCAAGGATTATGAGATAACATGAACTGCCCCCCTCTATCTTCCTGTGAATACTCAATTCTATTAATCCTCTTTCTAATATTGTCTTTCCATTCTAGAAGACTTCAAGATAGTAAACAAGTTAAATGCCCTATAGAAACCCCATATCTCCCCTTCACCTCATTAAGAGAGGTCTCTGTATGGGCCCCTTTGAAAACACAAGAACAACTTTACCCTGAACTAGTCATTTTGTAAGCTTTAGAATACAAGTTTCTACAATTGCTAAAATATTAAAATGCCCTTCATCTCCCACCACTAGCCTATGCTCCTTTTGAGTTGTTTTCTGTTGACAGGTGAATTGAATATAAAGAATTATAAAATCTTCCATTCACTTCACCTGTAGGTACCGACACAATGACCACCACCTGTTTCATAGAAGTAGGTAAAAAAACCAAAAAGTTTTCTAGGCAACTGGACACACTGATTCATGTTGACCAACAGATAATTTGCCTTGTCCTAGCCAGAACTATTTTTATAGTAGCTGAGTCCCTTGCACAGAAAATTTAGAGCATTTCTTGAGGACATAAGCCCCCCATCTCTTCAACTTAAATGGGGTTCATTCAGAAAACTCTTCTCTAACTCAGATCTTGTCTCAAGAGTGGCAAGTAGCTGGAAACAATTTGCCAAGCCAGTCAGAATGGGGAAGCCCTGCATGAGTCAGCACCTCCTGTTTGTAGTGGCTGAAGCAATGAGCCATGGCAGCACACCAGGGTTTACTCATTCATGCTACTGAGGCACTGAATTTACATCTCCCTACAGCTGATATGGTAGACCAACTTCCCCAGGCAGAGATGAAAGGGACTTCCAGCATCTTCAAAGGGTGAATTTCCCTTGGGGAACTCCCTCAGGTCACTAACTGGAGTATCAGCCATCACAGTGCTCTCACTGGGGAGATCAGGTAACTGGTCATCACTATGTCCTGCCAATTGGGTAAGTCTCACCGTGTTTTATCCTGGGCTCTTTCTCCTTTTCATCTGTCATCTGGGCTGAGGTAATATGACTATCTGGAGTTCCAGAAAGGAGGTTAAGTGTGGTTCTTGCTGAATTCAGTGCTAAAATAGACAAATAGACTAGGTTGAGCAAAAGAACTGAGATTAGAGCATCTGTTACTACTTTCTGTTGTGATTCTGTTTCTAATTATGGGATCCTCTGTCTGTTGGGCCCAAGTTTCATTGGGACTGCTTACAGCTCTGAATGCATAACAAAGAAAATGCTCTTATTGTAACACCACCTGGCCTACGGAGAATCTCAGGAATGATGGTCTTTAATGGGCCTTGAGCCATAATACTATTTTACAACCAAAACTGTTTAGTGAAAGGACAGGTAAATGGGATGAACTTCTCCTAAGTGTAAAGCTGTATGATTTTATAATGAAGATGTTGAGAGGGGAAATGGTATACATAATGTATAGTGAGCAAAAAATAGTGAGGGTCTTGCTGTCTGACTCTAAGATTCCTCACCAGAAAGCAGAGGATTGCCTTGAAATGCATTTGTTCTTCAAGATGAGGTTGATAATGAACCTCCTTCTTTGGGAATGACCAGGGTTGGTACTCTCCAGTACTCTCCTTAATTAACCAGATTTAACCACAAAGTTTCTCCTCTACTCTAGAGATGGAAATTGTGGATTATTATATATTGAAGCTGATAGAAAGAGTGGAACCACTGGGTTTTATTTTCAAGTTCCACAACTCCTGTGGCAGACAAATGAGCATAGACTTATTTTACTCTCAGAATCTGTAGTTCATTTTCTTTACATGTGCACAATAATGTCTACTATCGAAGAATGGTGTTAACTCATTAACTCAGTTTATGAAAGGATGCTTTCCAGTACTGGTGCTTATTAGGGCTACAAAAAATGTACCCTAACATTGTTCTTGAGCCATATCCCATAACAAATTGGGTATTATCCAGGACACCTTCCATTTTGAAGGCAAGTTGCCTCAAAGCCCCAGAACACCCAGAAATTACTGGTATTTGTTACCATTGTAGGTACTTTCTCAGGATCTGTAGATGCACTTCATGCTACAGAAGGCGCCTCAAGTCATCCAACAATCCTTAAAGGAAATTACTCCCCAACATTGACTCCCACACACAACTGGGGGTGACAATTGGCCCTCCATATCAGAAGTAAGTCAGGAGCTATGCAGAACCTCAAACAATGACTGAAAACATTATTCTTCCTGGAATGAAGTCTTCTCACAGTCACTGGGGAAGACTAATAACCCAAACAGTAAAAAGACCCTGGTGGATTCAGGTATTGCTGATTGCCTTTCTCCAAACAGGAATAGTTCTAAGAAGTGGGTGAGGGTTAAGTCCTTTGAAATAGTAAGAACCCATTACAGAAGACCTCTGCCTCTCTCGAGGTTCCACACTTAGAACATGAGGTAAATGCTAGAAAATATGAATAGCAACTGAATGCTATTTTGACTTTCATTAATGAGTTTCCTTCCCTCTGACTGCAAGCCCAGTTAAAGAGAACTTACTTCATTTTCAACCTGGAAATTAGGCCGTGCTAAAATATTAGAAGGAAAAAGTGCCTAAAAACCAGTTAAAGGAAAGATAATCTTGAATTGAAGATGTGCTGTTAATGACCCATTATTCTCTAAAATCAGGTGTCAAGCCATGGATTCATCATACTGGAGTGAAAAGCTCTCCAGTTCCATCTATCCCCAATGATCCTGCTCCAGACAACCTCAAATAGCTGTTCAAAAGGGAACTTCCAGATAAGTTATCTCCCATTTGTAGCCCCAAAGGACTTATGTCCCTGGCCTGGAGAGAGTGTCCTAACTAAAATGTCACAAAGTGTGGCTACTGGAGGAAACAAAATGTAATTGTTGGATCTGCCACATACTTCCCAGGTCCATGGGAAACAGACAAGCCACTTGACTGATCCAGTAACCTATTTAAGATCAATTCCTGACTAGTTATCTTTCTACAGTAACCCTGCACAGACATTGCCTTCTGGGTGCAAGTAACATGGCACCAAGAGGACACACTCCCCTGTCTTCTCTCCCCCATAATTTATGATCCCTGTGGACCCCTAACTCTGGGTGCTCCTCAGTCTGATCTCTACTTAAACAATGCCAAGAAAATTCCCGTCCCCTTAGATGCGACTAAGAAAATCTCCACCCTGTAGTCTCCTGATGGGTAGTAGGAGACTACAGGGATCAGCATATGGGAATCCCAATTCTGAGTGCTGGAGTTTGCGTTAAGTAGGGCATGATCTGGAACCTGTCTGCTACCATTGTCAGATTTCTGAAGAGAACCCTCAGAAGCAAAGCAGGGCAACAAAATTCACTACACTCTGGCCAAGTTGGTTTTGGACAACTGCATTGCTCGAGGCTACCTGTTAGCCTAAATAGCTGGGTGTGTGCTGCCGCCAAGACCACCTGCAGCAGTTACATTAACACATCAGGGTAAGTGGAGACTTATGTCAACCACCTTTGAAAAATCTACCTGGTTTCAAAATGTTAGAAAAATGGACCCAATTATTCTGCCTCTGGTCTGGGCATTTTATTTCATACACTGTTACAGTACAGCTAATTTTTTCTTTGCAACATGGCACATTTGGTCCACCGATTTATTCCAAAACATTTGTGAAGCAGTATCCCTTAGAACTCATCCCACTCTGCCCCATGAAGCCAAAGAACATGTATTTCAACAAATTAAGCTCTTTGACCTCAAGATCTCCAAATGCCCCCAATTCAGCAGGAAGTAGCCAGACTCATCTTGATGCCCCGTCTTCCATAGAAATGGAAAACTACTGACGTGGGGAGTTGGAAGCACAGAAACAGCTTTATGCCTGAACTTTCCCTGATGGCCACTGTTGTAACCTTCAGCACACAGAGAAACATAACTGTTAACTCCCCTAAAATGCTCTTCTACAAACCTTTGTTTTCTATTGACAGATGACTTATAGACATGAAGGGTCCAAAGTCCCGATGACCCAGACCATGCATTCTGCCTGCACAGCAACAACATTCTGACCTGCAGGTTCACAGAAGTAGGTAAGAACTTTCCAGCTAACAGGAACATTAGACTCATATTAACCACAGAAAATTGGCTCCATCTAAGCTGAGATCTGCTATAAAAAGCCTACCCCTTTGCCCAGAAAGAGAGATGCGAGTCTCCAATCTTATCAGCTTACTGGTTTTCTGAAAATCCTTGCTTTTCTAACCAGACCTTGTAGCCCATGGCTGGCTTGTGAGCAGTGAGGAGCCAACCTTTCCCTGGCAACACCGACAAGGGGTAGCTGACCTCTGAGGGATTTTCCAGTAAACGAACAGTGATTACTTTAAACAGTCAAGTGGAAACTAAAAGTTAATGAAAAACCCTGCCCAAATTCTGGTAGACACCAGACCTATACTTGCTAATTTCAGTGTCTCTCTGGAACGTGAAGACAGGGTTCAGGTGAAAGTGAAAGTTGTGAATGGTGAGAATTCTTCTAAGCTAGCTAGTCCCAGAAAAAGCACACCAGTAGATGTAAGTGCCATGTCAGTCCTTTGATAAAGAATTGGGTTGTAAGCAGAAGTATGTGTAATTAGAAACATCGGTTCTTGCCTTGCAAAACCAAAAAAAAAGCTCTAAATATTTCAAAGTATACCTCTCCTATCATAACCTTGACCTCAACTATGTTATCTCAAACTTAATGCTATTATAAAAAATACTGGTCTTGGGAAATAACAGTTCATTCTTAGAGGAATTTGTACTCTAAACATTTTGACCCATAAGTAATTTTGGGATTTTTCAGAAGGCCCGAGGGATAGGCCATAATATTTGTTCTCGCTCTTTATAAAAAGGAAACTTGTAAACTGATTAGATTTTCTTTTTGCATCTTTTGTTCTATGCATTACATCTTAGGTCAACATTTTTTTCTCCACCACCATCTGTCATAGCTTCTTTGGCCCGTTCTTCCTTCTACCTCCCTCTTTATCTCACAAACATCACTTTTATTAATGTCTGCTAGTTGTCATTCTGACTACACAAAATCCCCTCGACTCCTTCCATTTTGTTGTAAACGGCAATTTATTTTCTGTCCCTTGTGACTAATAGTATTACATATTCTTGATCCAGTTCTGTCAATGGCCCTTTAGGTTGAGTCCATGTTCTAGCTTTTATAAATAGAGCTGGAATAGATTGCAGGGTGTGTAGTTTCTAAGCTGACTTACTTAATATGTTAAAGGACATGGGCAGATTGTACAATAAGCAGCAATACTGTAATCTTTGTTTTTACAGATATGTTAAATGTTTCAGAAAATAATGACTGAAAATCTGATGTCTCCTGGTATAATATTAATTATAATTACTATATCTTAAAATGGTGTACATCACAGGAAGAACTAAATTTCCTTATCAAATAAGTGCTGAATATTTAACAATGGACATGTTTAAGTCTGTATTAGGCAGAAGATAATTCTGAAGACCGAGAAATCTTCATGATAGTCGACATTAAAAGGCAGAAAGTATTTTTCCCATTGGAGATGTGAGGTAAGGTCAGCTACTCACACAGGTAAGTCATCCCTATCTCTGAGGGAATCTCTCCCCAGTACATATTTTCCATAAAGGCTTCACCATTAATAAGCCATCTAGGCTAATGATATAAACTCCATACATCACTGTGAGAGGTGACAAAGTGTTCAAGAAAAGAACTTTATGGAAACCAGAACAAAAAAGTACCCCTTTAATTATGCTGGGTTAAAGCTGTTTAAATAGAGCCTCCACCTCTTTTGGGGAGCAGCATACAGACTGCCCCTGATGCAGAATTGAATTAGCTTCGATAAGTTTTTGCTTGCTGCCTGCATTTCTGTTCAAGTTCAGGAGCCCTGAATTTGGTAACAAATCTTATGTCATTGATAATTGTTTTACTGCTGTTTTGCAAAAGCGAGACTCATGGAAAGGACATAATAAGTACTCCGGACCACTGACAACATGTGAAACTAGAAGGTATTGGATATACATCTCAGCCTGAAAACGGCTCTCCTGACATCTGGTCCAGTGTGAACACTGGCGACCTCAAAATCAAGAGAAGTATCTGATACTTAGGTAGATACTG